AATTAAACAGAGTACACAAATCTTTATACATTATCTAAACATACTGATACACTGAAATATTTCGCTTCACTGTCATTTCTCATTGTTGTAAAAAAGTTAAATTTGAATGATTCGACTTCAGATTTGATGAGAAACATAACCATAAAATAAGTCCACTTGAGGTGAATTTATTCTGCCTTAATAAAACTTTCCTGGACTGAACACATCCTTATTTAGACCTCATGCATTAAATGCTCCGATTTGTAACGGTTCCGATGAAGTTCAGACACTATACTGATAATCGCACATATCTCGTGACTTCACATAAGCTTTCGATAAACGCACAGTTTCAAAGTCGCTTATCTTGATAACGGTAAATGCCTTCGATTTTCAATTTTTGCGATTGTATTCTAAATGACAAGCACACTATCAAAATATATATATAAAAAAATATGCACAAAACTATATTTGACTGAACGACCTTATTCTCCCATTTATAAATACAATATTGACAACTACATTCAGTGATTGGAAAATTTACAAGTCCATGTGGTGACCAATATTTGTGCCAGTTATCTGGTCAAGTCATTAAGAGCAGGCATAACGCAGTTCTAGTGATTTTATATGATAAAATCCTTGTTCTGCAAATTTATTAAAAAAAAATTTGATCAACTGCTTTTCAGTTCAGATATCATGCTAAGCGTAATAGAAAAGTAGTCAGTCCATGCCCAATTTCAGAATATATTGAAACTTTGCATGCTCAATTTTTTTGATCTTGTGTTAATATCAGGATTGTTCGGTAAAACAAACATACAACAATTAACAAATACCATACATATGGTATCCTCCTTATAAACGAGATGTCATTATTCTCATTTCCATGAGTTCTGAAATAGAAGAAAACAATTGAAAGTCACATCGAACACTTTCATGTTGTAACTATAATAATAATGTTCCTCTTGACATCTTTGTGGCAACAATACAGATCATTTATCACTTTATCATTGTTCACCTCATAACAAGGTATTGAAATAAATTGCGATTTGAATTCTTCACAGAGGTTTAGCTCACTGAAAAACTTTCCTATGAATGAGATTATTAAAGAAAGCTATATTTGAAAAATAAGAAAAACCGGTGAGCAGATATTAAATATGGAACATCTGAATGGATTGTGAAACAATGCTCAACACCAATCACTGAGGAGAAAAGCAACATCAATTGGTTTTAACTAATAAACAAAATAAACGTTTTTCAAACGACCCCAATGAAACTACTTATTATGTAGCATAAATAAAAATTTTCGAAATGAAATCAAGGTGAAACTTTTCCTCAAACTGAAATTTCACAACTTTGATTAACTACCTCCACTTAACTGATAATCAAAGTGAATTCAAGTTGTAATGATGTGTCCAAGAAAAACACTCAAAGCAAGTTGCATTACTAAGAAAATATTCAAATTTATTTCAGCTCGAGTTCAAGTGAACATCATTAACATTTCAGTAATATAAAACTGTCTAAAAAGTTATATTATTATTAGGAATTAATTTAATTTATTGGTTCCATTTGAGGAAATTCTTCAATCAATTGATATTAAGTAGGATTCCATAACACTGCAATGCTTGAATAATACAGAGTTTTAGTACTGTCCGATTCTCAACTAGAGCCAAATCCCTTGTGAGTAGAGATACATACATCCTCTTTTATGAAAATGAACGTTTTGAAAAGTTATTTTTGAACTGTTAATTTTAACGTTATAATGAATTAAATCTAAAGTCAATTGTTACAAATAAATATGGCATAACATTAAGGTTCACTAATAACTTATGTAGTAGCTGAGACATTTTTCTGAATGTGATTACTGTGTAAGAAATTCGTTAGCTTAAAATTTTGTAGTTGTTCAACCATAGACTTTTAGTGAGAAGTTTTCAATTCATTTATTCAACTTAAATATCAAAATTTGCATTACGGTAGTTCATACCAAAAAAGTACTAAAACTGATACCACTTCAGGTAAATTTTGTCCGACCTTGATATCCTGTTCCACTGAGAAGTTAAACGGAAAGCTTTCTATAACGGCACTGTATTTATATATACACATACATACTTACAGTTATATGTAGTTTCGTAAATGAACAATCAACCTCAAATGAATTCAGAAAAGTGGTTCAATCTATCTCTATTTTGTATATGAACCTGATAGTTGGTATTCAGATCATCTTAGCTATTATTAATTCATTTTTCTATGTAATCCGAGTTGATTTTTATAAATGATAAGATCATTCTAACTTCTGTTTATTTACCAGACTGAAATAGTTTTCATGTACAAAGGATCTTTTAAAACTGGTAAATTGTACATGACTTCTCAGACATCAAAAATAAATATTGATCAAAACAGTATTTTCTTGGATGAAGAAGTAAGCTCTTGGAACGTCTTGAATTATTATCCTACATAATACTTTCATTATATACAAATCACACACGTACTTTACTCGCTACGACTACTGAACTATTTCACATGCATCAGTGGCCATCTGACTTTTGCACTTATCCCCATCTATTATGAAAACCGTATGGTTTCCAATAACCAAGGATGATTTTATAAGATGAGCATGAATCATCTCTGCCACCTAGACGTTTACCATACACGTCAATAAATTACAATTAACACATACAAATACACACAATCGAGAAGATTAAAGCATTTTAAAGAGCAGAATTATCTGCTTCCATACCTTCTGGAGGTACTCGAATGCAATCCGTTGATATCGATCCGTTATTGATGGTTCCATTGGCCATGGCATATAAGTCAGGAGTCACTTCTTGTATTTGTGGTTCTGGGGGATTGCACAAAGTTTGCACGCAAAGATGCAACTTCATATAATCATCACTGGAAATCCAGATACCTGGTCTCTTGTTGTGGTACAGTTTCGCGTACATGTATACATCTACTTTGTTGTCATAAATAAGGTGTTTCTTCAAAGTAGTCAGAGCGCAAAATGTTGCAGCCTCAGTGCCACCAAAGCTGAAATTATAGAACAGAACAGATTCAATGATCCAACATCTTGAATTCAAAAAGCTTAGAAATGAAGTAGTTAATCTATTAAAAAAAAATAAATAGAACTACTACCATGAGAAAGTAGATAATTATAAAAATAACCCAAAAATGATGTGGAAAACACTGAAACAGTTGGTCAATAACAAAGAACAAGAAATGCCCAGACATATGAAATTTGAAAAAAATGGTTATCACATAATAATAAAAAATGAAACTGAAATTGCCCAAGAGTTCAATGAATATTTTGTTAATAGTGTTAATCTAATAACGGATAGCATTGAAACCCAAGAGTTATGGTCAAACCTAGATCACAACCTATACAGACCATTTAAAAAATTTAGAGCAATCACTTTAAAGGAGTTGAGAGAAATAATTAATTCTTTGGATAATAAACCTATTTTTTTATTGTATATTAGGGAAACCTATTTCCGAAATAAAGAAAAGATTATTATTATTATTATCCAATCCACATTTACATATAACAATACTCCTAAACTTCATACCACATGGTATTCCAATAGAGGTCTACCAATCTTGTGGAATATAATACATCAAAAATATCATCAAAATGGCATTAAAAAAAGTTGTCTTTGTTTTTCATATTGAAAGTAACTCACTTCTCTGTAACTTCATATGATAAATAAGGTTTAGATAACTTGTATTTCTACCTATTTTTCCATTCACTATTTTGACTCTTGCTCTTTTCAATTAACATTATAACTCAATACCTCTCGAGGAATGAAGCATTAATTTTTTTCTATCCACAAATTGGATTGAAATGAGACATATTATCCAAGAGAGTAAAGCATGTAAAAATAAAAATCATATTTGATTTCTTGCACCATAAACAACATTGTTATAGTTAATGGTTAGTGACTGAATGAGAAAAGTGTAAAAAAGAAGGATACTTCTCCGAGCCTCTGTATCATATGCCAAACAAGGTAGAACTGCTGTAAAAATTCCTGACATATAGGGAAACATTTTTGGTCCGGATAATTGGACAAATTCTTTAATCCAAGTTATTGCCGTGAACTAAAACAAAAAAAAAAGATATAAAAATTTTGAACATGGTATGTTTGAAACACCAAAAAAATGTCAATTAATTATTGATTATACAGAGTTATCACGATCAGTTTCCAATAAATATAAATCTGGTTTTCAGATGTAACCCAGATGGAATTCCACTCCATATAATCTACTTTTATATACATTCCTCTCTGTTATCAAATGAAAAATTGTAAACTCGGAAAAAACTTTTTTCTGTCAGATTATTAATTGAAATTTTTAATACAATAATACTCCATCTACTCTCCTCTTCAAAACAAAAACTGCATTTTTTCATTCTATTATGTCTTTGTATTTTTGTGAATGATAGCGACAAAAGATATAGGATTGTAGGGGGTCAGTGCTTTAATTGAATCTCTTCAGCATGGTCAAACAACCAATAAACCCCCAAAAACATTTTTTTAAACACTAGAATTTAAAAGAATGCATATTTCCAGGTGTACAAATAATTTATTTCGCCAAAATTTTTGTATCAGTATAGTAGTATTTCTTTGATCATAGATAAAGTACATCGTACAAGAAGTAAGTCATAAAATATGCTGAAATACAACCCTTGAATTACATACATATAGGACAATGATGATATAGAATAAATATTTAAAATTAATATGTGTATATAGTATACATAAGGAAATGGTACAGAAATGTTAATAAAATAAAATAGTAAATCGTTAGATACATATCTTTTTGTTTCTTGAATATGTTATAGTCATTGATATGTTTCGTAAAATTTGGTAGCTTGTTGTAGAAAGATATACAATTGTAAAAGGTTGATATTTTCAAGAGTTGTTGATTTGTTCTTAGACAGTAGACAAAAAATAGTAACATTACTTTTCACATTCACTACATACTTGAGTATATTTGCTGTTTGTTCAAAAAATAAGATGAACTTTAATTTTTCCCAAAAAAAACCATTTATTTATTTATTAATTAATTTCTATTTTGTCCCCATCAAAGTATTTCCCCTTTGATATAATACACTTGTGCCAGCGATGTTTTCAATACTTGAAGCAGTTCTGGTATGTCCTTGAGCTTTCTCATCAATTCGGTTTTTATTTATTCACGGGTTCAGGACCCATTTCAATCAATACAATTTTAAAATTAAAAATAGCTACACACAATACCCAATACTCAGAAGTGAATGGGTCTATTCGACCCTCAACCGCAACCCGCCAGGAATTATTGCGGCTCAAACCTATTCAAACTTGATCAAATTAACCCAGCTTCTTGATGAAGCCGATTAGTTTATATGATGTGTAATTTTTCAGGTCAGATGGTAAGACTGTGGTTCTACCAAACTCTGAAAACCTGATTCGGTCCGCAACGGGGCAGGCACAAAGTATATGTTCATCTGTTTCATCATTTTCCAAACAGGCGACACACACTGTCTTCCGACAGTCCGAGTCTGTGCATAGGATGATTCAGACGACAGTGACCTGTGAGAAGGCATGTTATACATCGTAATTCATTCCTACTGTAGTCTAACAACTGTTTGGTTTCGAGCTTCGAAGCTGTTCGATGTTTGTTTGGCAAAATCCAAAGCGATGCCAATGACAGTCTGATGAAGCTGCTTGCAGAACAGTCCTTTGCAAGTCTGCAACTGACTCTGATGCAGATGTGAAGAAATCGAGGTCCGCTTTATTCACCACATTTATAGTCGTGGTAGAAAGGAATGAAGGTACTGATTTGTTCTACATTGCCGTTGAGAAAATGTTGTTATATTTCTAGTAAACTCAGGAGAGGCTGAAAGTCCGATCTTAGATAACAATGAAGAACAATGAACAATTCCATAAATGATTTTAAAAAATATCTTCGAGTCTTTAGTATCCCTTCTTATATGTAGTGTTACTAGATCTATGAGGGAATGTAGTCGAGGATACTTATATATGTAGTTCTCAGGAGTAATTATGGATAAAGTGAAATCCGAAGTGCATCTTCTTAGGAAGCCTATCATTTTGAGATACTTATTAACAGTGGCTAACATGTGGGGCTGAAATGAAAGTGAGCTGTCTAGGAGTAAAACCCAAGTCTTTCATTTCTGTAACATTAATGAGCGGAACTAGATTAATGGTATAAGAGTACGTTAAGGGGATACATTTACGGTTAAAAATTATGGAATGGCATTTACGTGTATTGAGTTCCATACTATTGTCAAAACACCAACTGAATAGTTGGCTCAGTTTGCTCTGGAGTTCTACAGTCATTCGGTGAATCGATTTTCTTGTAAATTTTCAAATCATCTGCGAAGCTTAGAACTTCTGCATTAGAAAAGCAGTAAGTACTGAATATAGTCTATGAAAACATTGAACAGCAATGGTCCCAAATGGAATTATTGGAACACAGGATGTTACTAAACTTCCAGAAAATTTAAATCCGTTAACCAGAGTTATTTGTATCCGATTAGTGAGATAACTTTGTTCACAAGATAAGAGGCTGCTATAAATTCCCATCAGTTTGGACTTCCATTGTCAACCACCTTCAAACAAAACTTCTTATGTGTTCAAGTTTTTTGTAATAAACGAGTATGGTTGACTTAATGAACTCAGGCAACTTTCCTGAGCAAAATCCAAATTGTTGATTATTAAGTAATGGATCTAAGATCAGTGTCAGAGTCAGGTGTTTACTAATAATAAAATCTTGAATTTAGGGAATGCTACTTTCAAAAGGAGTTACAAAACTATATTTCCAGAAGTCTGGAAAATGCTCTATTTAATACAGTTGTTGAAGATAAAGTGTAAAGGCCGTGCAAGGACAAAGCTACAGTGCTTCAATAATGATGGAGGAGTACCACCAGGGCCAGGACCTTTACAAGCATTCTACGTTTTCTTCATATTGCTTCTCGCAAACGGAGCATAACTTTTAAGATAATACTACTTATTGACCATACAACCATGCAGCAAGAACTCCTAATGCACTACGCCACGGAAATTGAAGAAAAGAGTAAGCAAAACCTTGACATTTGTTCAAACTTTGCGTGTTTTTTTGGTTTTGGATTTCTTGGGTTTTTCCATTATGATGACTGGACTTTGGTTTCGATGTCATAACCATATACCCATGATTCGTCACCAATTATGCCCCTTTTAAGAAAATCTGGACGCCATTGACGTCATTCAACAATTCCTGGGCGATGCTCATGCATCTTTTTTTTTAAATAAAATTCAGTAATTTTTAAATGAACTTTGCTGCCCAAAATTTCCAAAAAAATTTCTTGGCATGAGCCAAACCATATGCAGACATCTTTAGCAACGTCTCTAATAGGGATTCGACGATTCTACATAACAATTTTCTTCACATTCTCAACACTTTCATCAGTTGTTGATATCTTGGGGCATCCAGTGGGGCGAGCGTCAACATTCATATCTTCTTGATCTTCTATGAAAAGCGTGTACCACTTGTAAACATTTTTCTGACTAAGAGTACAATCAAGTGTTTTTGAGCACTTAATTTCATTTTTTACACAAAATTTTATGCAAATTCTTTGATAAATTTTTTTCGATAGCAGAAAATTGCCAAACACGCAAAACATTTCTAACTTTCATGCCTCTCACCAACAAACGAAACATGCTAAACAGCTGAAATTGTGAACATATGTTCGAGACGAGTATACCAACATAAAAAAATCGCCAATTGAATGTACGAAGCCCACAAAATTTGAACATATACCTTATTTTTTGAACAACCCATGTTTGTGTTGAATCGTCGATAATAATACTAAAAAAATTACAGAAATATATCTAATCTCAGATCATCTCTCTGGTATATGGAAGAAATGTTTCTGTTGGATATGAAAAATAACATGCATACCTGTACTAAATCATCACTTTTCTCCTGAGCATGATTAATCAATATATTGATCATAGCTCCAAAGTCAACTCTGGAGGGATCACTCTTCACGCTTCTCAAAAATTCACCCAGAGTTGTTTCACACATTTTTTTCACTTCTAAACTGGTATCATCTAGAATCCTAAACAAACCATCTAAAATTTCTGGCAAATAATTTATCAAGTCTAAACCTGGCTCTGTATTCAAAACTGATATCCATGAGATGATGAATTGTCTTGAAAAAGCATTTTTCGTATAAATTCTTTCTCTCAACAGAGGAATAAAGCCATCTAAATCAAATGAAGCACTTTCAACAACAATATCCTGAAAGAAAAAAAATTTAAGAAAGATAAAAATGTGCTAACACTTCACTACAAAATTCACTATGAAAGTTAATTGATTATACAGTAACTTTCTTAGTGCTCTTTTATTATCGTCAGAGAATAGTTAGATTTTTTATTTGACGAAAAAACCCTGGTCTACATTCACCAGCAGTTCAATTAGATTTTGTTTTCTATTTTCTCTTGAATAGAAAGGAATATTTAATTTTAGTAGGGACTAAAGCCAAAATATTAAATTATTCTTCTTCAACAAACCAATATTTTTCAATTTGGAAGTTTCATGATTAAATTCAAACTTATCTATCTATCTATCTTATGCAGACCTCAAAACAACAAATAATGTGGGTAAAAAAAAACGTTTTTTTTTCAAAATATAGATTACAAAAACATAAACTTAATTATGATTAAATAATTTCAAGAAAGACAGAAAAATTGATAATCCCATCCAAAAGGAAGATCTCTAGTCATAGTATTCAGATATTGTCGTAAACATAAATTGGGTGGTACTGTTCATATCTTCGAAAAACAATAGTTTAAAACAGTAGAATATAAATTGCCATTTGGTTCAAGTTTAGATTCAACGTTTATTTAGTTACTGAATTTGGCTGTTTCGAGACTTTAGAGCCCTTTTTTCACATATAGGCTGAAAGAAGGATTCTATGATTTTTGATTGACTGATTCAGAGGTGTTCATGATTCATAATATATATTTGAGAGTGCATACCTTCAGAAGACGATCGAGTAGTTCAGATGCATTTTTGACATTCTGATCAGGATCAGTTGCAATTTTACTTAAGGCATTGAATATTGCAGAAAAGTGTGGTAGAACTGCTCCTCGAGAGACCTTAACTACATTGTATAATGATTCACAAGCATAATATCGAACTCTCAGATCTTGATCTGCCATACATCCCAGAATCGGCTTGATCAATTCGTCAGCATAAAGCTCTGTATCCTGATGAAAAATTGAGAAAATCATTTGGTAGTGAAAATTCAAATCATTCCTAATTGAAAATACGAGTCCAAAAATATATTTTGAATTCAAATAGAAAAACATATGTATGAGCTATATACCTTCCCTAAGGCAATCGCTATTGCTGCCAGTCCAATTAGGCCCCCTTTTCTTGCATGTGGATTTTGTGATAGGGAGAAATCTTGCCCTAACACCTTCAAGAGCCTTTTAATTTGACCAGTATTATTAACAGCGGAAAATTCTTTTACCATCCTAAAAAAATGAAAAGCATGTTTTATCAGACAATACACATGTAATCATTTTTATAGGTACTTCTCAATTTCTAAAGCAGCAGTTTTACGCCTGTCATACAATTTGTCATGTAAAGCTCGGACACATGCCGTACTGAGCGGGGCATAATCTTTTTCGGACATTTAAAACTTAAGTATGTACATAAACCCTTTCCAAATATTATTTATTATAATCTAACCCTACGAAATCTTAATGTAATATGTAATGTCTAAAAATTGAAAATTTAAAACCTATTTGACGTTTGACAACCAGTTGAAGTCTGACAACCTATTTGAAGTTTGACAACCTGTTCATCTAAAGGCGAGTTCATATTAGAACGATTGCGGTTCCGCAAATTTGCCTCAATTGTCAAAATACCCTGTTCATGTTGAAGCGGGCAATATCTAGGTATTTCATTGTTGAATTTTAAATTTTATTACATGAACCTGAATGATGACATACGAATTACGACTTTTAAGACCAGACCCCATCATATCAGAATATAGGACTAACAATTTTCTCAAGTTTTGTTTAATAGAAGCAGGTCCTCAAACCACTTATCTTAACGTTACTGCCTGCAGGGGCGAGGGGTTCTTTTGCAAAATGAGTTTTCTTTAATGAGGGGCCAACCAAATTCAATAATTTATTGAATAATGAGAGAGTGAGCCTGAAATAGTTGAAATATTTCTCTGGATCACTAATTCTCATTTATTCCAGCCACAAGATTGTGATATTCTTCATATTTTCTTCTATTTTTGAAAATATTTCCCACTATAAAGACGGGAAACTTTTTACGGTAAGTTGATATAATTTGAACAACCTGACACATTCGTCCATTTCGGATTCAATTTCAATGTATGGGCTTAAAAAACGAGAGTTAAAGCAATATAACTACTTTGTATGTTGACGTATAACATTTTGCAGAAATCGCAAGAAAGTTCAATTTTCTCAACTTTTTTACGATAAACACGACGCCATTTTAAATCGCACTTTTCATGCGATGTTCGTTCCAACATGAACTAGCCTTAAGGCGTTTTCTGGCGCTGATGTATTCAAAACGTATTCGTCTGTGATTCAAAGACATTCATTCTGGCGTTGAAACGATGACGTCTCATCAACTATGATTTGATACGTATTACCACCGACATAACGATTAAGGTTATGTCGATGCGTATTACTAATGATTCAAAACTAGCGTGAGGTTGGTTTTGAAACGGAATTTGACATTCTAATGCTACGTCAGTTGTCAATGTCTGCTTTATTTTGATCGTTATAGTTGATTAAGTGCTGAAAACTTTTCATTAAATACGTTGTAAGGATGTATAAAATGAAGCTGGAGGAGTATTACTTGCACAAATCCGATTATAATTGACATTAGAAAAAATTGAGAAGTTTGTTTTTTTATTATTGAATTTGTCATCTGACACAAATTGAATCATTCCATTCTGGCGAATACACGCTCGAATACGATTAAACGCCAGAAAATACCTCTGGTATTCGATTTGCCTATTTGACACTCGATCACAGATTACATTTTGATTTTAAATATTACAACACAATCCTGTAATCTGTGACTTGAACAACTTGATGCTCAATCGAACGATAGATCGGACTTTGCCATGACCTTGAAAAAGGAAGATGAAAATCAATGATTTCATGAACTAAACTAAACATGAAAATGTCACAATGAAGTATTTTCCAAATACTTTATGTATTTTCATCAAATATCGGCCAATTCCATCCAATATCGGCCGAGAATAACCAAAATCAGGTTATAGGGAAGTTTTAAAATGATCAAAAGAACAGAAATAGTGTAAAATAACATTGAAATAGAAAAGAGCTGTGCTCTTCATATGGTACTTAATCAAGTTTTCCTACCTTATAAAAAATATACAGAAAGTCACTTAAACCGCACCAATGCAGCTATTCTTCACATCTTTTTCAATATTTTTTTATGGAGGAGAAGTAGAAAGCCAAAAAGATTTTTACCCAAAACTAATTTCTCCTGAAAATATACCCTTTTTAATTTACCACTAATGCTGATTTACAACTGGCATTCTACTTCATGTCAAAAACAATCTAATCTTACCCTTACATTTTCTTATATTTCGAAGTGTCACATCCACCGCAACGCACATCTGATATTTTATTGTTTGTTTATGATTTTTTCTAGACATTGTTTTCTTATAAATGAATGTGTGATTGAATTTTTCATTCATTGTGCCCTGTTTTTTTTATTTTAAAGTATAATCATTTATTTTTGTCTAAAATAGATGGAGGTTAAACAAACCGTTTGGCAACGGTATCAAAGAAGAGTAGATGAATACACAATTCCACTTCTATGGACAAAACCACGGTGGTTTATAGTAAGCAGTAACTTTTAGTGAACCGTAAACTGTTCAATTTGCCCTTTATTATACTTTAGTAATTCTCTTTTTATTTTACAAATTGTGCCAGGTTAAATACCGAACAGCAAGAAACATTGAACTTTCCACCAAAAATATCTTTCAAAAATATTTTTATCATACCTACTTAGCACAAACAATTTTTATTCAATTTCTGAAAACAATCTTTAGTTATGTGATTTACTAAACAGTGCACTATTTTCTATAAGAAAAGTTGAACAATTTGTTTTGCCTATACAGTTACCAAAAAGACATATAAATACCTAGTAAACCTAATGAGCAATAACTCAGTTTACTTTGGAACTAACAATATTGAAAGACCACTTGTTTCTTTTTGTACACTAAATTCAATTTTTCGTCATCTTTAACTGAAGTTTGATTGGTCCTGGGCCAATGGATTCGAAAAAAAATATAATAGATGGAAAATACACATTTATAATGAGGAACTGATGTCCTTTTTTACATTAAAATGTGCATTTATTCTTAGATAACAAGAACCTGTAGTCAACTCATAATCTCAAAAAAAACTCGGGTAATCATCCTTTTTTACAATCCCATTTATTTGTTTCATTGAACGCAGATAACAACGGACTGGAGTAAAGGAAACTGAAGATATTTTTATCGACAGCTCATGAAATTCTTCAATGTTATATAGGAACTATCTTTTCTCATCTTCCTCCGACGATTTATCAGAAATTAAAAGTAGTAACTCTTGAGAAAGAACAGCCAACTTCAATATTCAGTTCGAATATTATAAGATCAATCAATTGGAAAATGTATGGTCACAGTGTATGGTTTTCAGTTATCAAATATAAAATTAAGCTAATGACAGAATCACGAACACGAACGTTTTGTTTAAAAAATAACTGAAAATAACATATTTTCACAAAGTTTTCACGTAACAGCCGTCAAAAATTCTGGTTAGTAGTGGTTAGGAAGTAATAATTTTTGGAACATATATTTGATTAATTTATTATATAATACAATTATTTTGAAGAATAAAAATATTTTTTCATTAAAACAACGATAAAAATAAAAACAACAATAGAAATTAATTGGCGCTCCGGGGCGACTTCATTGATTCCAGTGGCGCATTTGCTTTTTGAGCTGCAGGAAAACCCGGAAAAACCTGCAGCACCACAACATCTGAAGATCTTGATCTACCAATGTCCTCTCTCTTATAAAAGACGTCTTTGACCAAGGCGTAATAATGACCAAATTCAACGCCAGAACCACAATGAACAATGACTGCATGAATATCATGATAGTGGTCTGCTAGATTGGAATGTTCATCTATTTCGAACCTTCCAAAGAGTTTCTTACTTCCGTCAGAGGTTGAGTCTTGTTTGAAGATCATCAGATTGACTGGTGCCTCAGCTCTATACTTGTTTCCTTATAACAGTCAGTTAGTTTGGCGCATGTTTAACAATACAGTCGATCATCACCTGTTAAAAATTACATTTTCAGATGATTTAACAATAAGATTTGCACGGACTGGTTATTAGTCATATTAGGAAAAGCTAGATGAAGTTCCAGAAATTCACATAAGTTTTCGCTACCTCTTGAACGATTACTACAAAGTGAACAAGTGAAGATTTTTCCAGCAAAAGATTTACAAACACAAGACGAAATGGACTGTACGGAATCATTCAATCCAGAGCGGTCAGTAGTATTGATTTTGCTATTATTATTATTATTTATTATGCTATTGTTAATTAGGTGTACATCATAAAATTTCAATTTTAGTTATGAATCAAATGGATCAATTTCGAACCCTAATATTGGGGTGTAAATGAAAAAAAAGCTCGTTATAAAGCAAGAATTATCCTGTTCATTTTTCAGTTCACAAAAACTGGCAACATTGGATGGATATCATCAAATATAATATAATCAAACGAAGAATACGTAAACATGGCGATGTGTTTTTGGCGTCCGCCTTTGATTTATGAAGTATTAGGATAACTCTAGGCCTATTTGGTTGGTTTCTCAGAAATCTGTAAGATAAAATTTTTCCTTAACAATATTCAATTTACAAAAAAAATAGTCAGAGTCATGTGTTATATGATAATGTTTTGGATAAATTTTCGTGTCAAATGAATAAAATATAGGACAAATGAATTCTCCTTGAATTTTCAGTCATTGTTATAGTATATAAATATATAAGTATATATTAACTTATTTTCAACCGTTTATTTATAGTTTGAATAGCAGAGGAGATGTGATATTTTTTGGTTAGGAGCAGCAGGAAGGAAAACATGGGCAGGTGTGGGGCAGTGCCTAGCTAATGGGATTGTGACATGCAGTCTGAGCCAAGCCGGTACATTCATTCGGTGTCCGACTTACTCTATAGCACTGACGAAATTGAATTCTTGCTCGAAGACATTAAAGACCTGGAGCCCAAAAGTTATAAACCTGAAGATATTCAGGTAGTTTTTTGCAATACAGGAAGGAGAATGATGTAGTGATTATATAGTTTTTGTTTCATGCATGAAAAATTTTAATTTTATTTTATTTTTGTTCTGTATGTATATTTTTTAATAAATCATTTCAAATAGTTAATTCTGAGTAATTGTTTTTTGTAGAGTATAGCTAGTTTATTACCAACAATCCTGTTTTTTTTGTGATTTCAAATGTTGTTTGTGCATTGTGATAACGAGTTCAGTATAGTAAGGTACTCTTCAAAATTTGTTAAAACAAACTAAACTAAACTAAGCTGTTTCAAACAGATTAGATCTGTGGTACATTGATTTATTGAAAATTACTTTTCAACAGGTAGTTTCCTAACAATAAATAAAAAGACACTAAGAATCCTTCAAAGTACCAAAGGAGTAAAAGACAGCCCTTTTTCTGAGAGTGTCTTATGACAAACATTTTTGATTTTCGAGACTGAACTCAACAACTTTTGTCTAGAGGTGAACGAGCTCATTCTCCTGAAGTTTGAAACCACATGGTCAAGATTCATACACCTCATAAAGTCGGCTTTTTTTCAGTATATTATGGTTATCTACAATTATCTTAGAAATTGAGAATTTTGTGTTTAGGCTTTCCAAAGTTCTTTGTCTTCTATACAAACCATTAAGATACGGATTGAAACTTATGAATGATAAAACTTTCTTTACCACTTAATAATCCTTTAGTCTACACTTGAAAATTGTTATTTTATAAGACAGTCTTGGAGAGAGGGTAAATCACTAAAACCTGTACTTTCCTCCAAAAAGACAGGAATTTATGAAATAATTTGGAAGTCGAGAAAAAAGTCAACTCAACACATATCTGATATTTATTTCTCCTGAATAACATGCTAGAGAAAAAATTCTCAATCATTACTAAAGAAAGCTGAGGTGTTTCCAGGGTTATAGGTTCTTAGAAGAGCATTTGAGACCTGGTTACGCAACACAGTTTTTTTGTCAATCACACCATACCTAAAAGGTTCTTAAAACTAATTGTCTTCACTTGAACTCTTAACAGCCGGATCTCTATTATTTTATGTCAGAACTCTCCAAATTCAACATTTATTGCTCATTGTAATCAAACTCATATAGACCAGGAGAGAAAATGAATTGTTTAAAGAAAAATAACAGTAACTGTAGGCTTTTTATAAGGTACTTTATCTTATACAACCCACAGTTGGGAAACCAACATACCACATTCGTTGATCATAACAGAAAAAAAAAGACCTAATGGCTGGAATGGAAAAAAATTACATTCAGAAACATCTGTAAAAAACAATGGGGGTATAAAAACAAGGTAATACAAAATGATTTAATTGATGAAAAGTGAGAAATAGAACTTTCTACGTTTTTTTGCCACTTGTATTTGTAACTAACTACTGCAGTTATAACTTAATAACAAATAGTGGTAAAAAAAAACAAAAAGTTTTATTCTCATTTTTCATGATGATCTACCACATAGTAACGGCTACATTCATCAATTTATTTAATTTAATTCAGATTGCTGAACGGTATTATGATATTTGCCATTTTTTTTTAATTAAAGGGCTTATAACACTTTCATCATCAAACTTGTGGTTTCCATTCAAGTTTGGTTGCTGCAATGTCAAACCTAATCCTTTAACACAATCTGTTTTATTTGATATCAGATATTTGGAGATACGCATGAATATCCACCTCAAGTGACTTTACTGCATTGTTCAATGTTCATGTCAGATGTGTATGCTAGGTGTTGGTTTCCAGGAGCCGGATGGTATGAGTTGTGTGTTGCAGGACTTTGAGATAGCGGGAAGCAGGACGGGGGCCCTCAGCGCGGAGTGTGCGGGAGGTTGTGAGTGCGAATCTCCCCTCGGTACCGTCAACTCCTGGGACTCGCACTCTCACTACCGCCGTCGCGCAGCCTCTCCCGATCTGCCTCTCTATACGGGGGTGATCATCTATTGCGACCACACTCACTTCAAGACGCCCACGGGGTTCTTCAGGTTGTTGCTACTGGTGAGTTCATGAGTTGGTATCTCTTACCTCACACTCCATCACAATATGTTTCCTTCATTAAAGGAAACATATTTTTGAGTTATATGAATTATGAATAATAACAAAATGACAAGATTTAAGCCTGAGGTTAATTACTCTAGGTGATATTAGAAATATGTTTAACAGCAAATAATAGATACCATAAAAACTTAGAGCTACTTTCGGAATAGACATACATTTTTATAAAAAATAATAAAAATCCCATATTTTCAGATTATAGCCAAGTAAATTCCTTCAACGATATTTGATTCACAATGAGTATTTCAAATGGGCGAAATTACTGCTGAATGTGTATTAGACATTGATGAATCCACTTAAAAGTAGAAAGAATACTGATAATACATAAATCAGCACAATAAATTATTGAGCAGAAAGTATATTCACAAACAGCCTAAATTAAAATTAGCGTTATCACCACTTTTATTTTAATTTGGGATGGATGTAACTTGGGTGTAACTGTACCGGTTTTAACATAATGAAAGATGCGATTATTTCTGAACATCATAGTAAGTCAAAGATGAACTCTTTCCATCTCAGTGGTTTTTGCTGATATCCAAAGCACTTGATAGGTGGTCCCAAATTGATGTTATCAATACTGATTTAGCGCACGTACTTATATATTCATTTATATTGTTACAAAAAATTAAAAATATGGTTTAGTCAATATCGTGTGAGACTTTATGCCTATCAAAATAAATCTAAATTCTAATTCATTGAAGCAAAGCGATTGATACATTTTTTAAAAAAGTGTTGTTACAATAAGTGTCTTCCATTAGATAGATTGGTTATGAATGAAGTAGTACAAATAAATCATACTAAGAATATTCTTAATAAAAAAATTGAAGTAAGACATCACATATAATGTTTGAATTTCGTTCTGAATTTTACGTGTCTCCTGACTTGACACCTCATAATTGGACTTTTTCCTTGAATTATTTTTATATGAGCCATAACCATTTTTTCATTATATTGTAGTGGTAAGTGTACCAAATGCTATTTCAACTTTCATTATTGTTTTCACTCGACTTTTATAATTTCAAGTTTCAAATGAATAATTTATCATTTTGCTGTGATTTTTATAAGTCACTGAAAATGTGAAGAAAATAAGATAAATTTCTTTAAATTTAAACAAAAATGTTTTGACTATTTTGTAATCATGTTTTTAACCTACAGCTAATCATCTGGAGTTTGTGGTTTCAAACCCTACCCCATATGCGATTGATAAAGCAAATAACTGTCTGAAGCATCAGGTTCTCTCAATTGTTATAATTAAAAAATAATATTTGGTGTCCTTGAATATAATTATTTCTCTATACCTTACCTAGCAAAAAGCCCTGGGATTTTCAGAAGAGATGGACTACCGCAAGATACGTTTAACATTTGACAAATATATAATTGTATGACAAAATACTCTTCGATGTTTTCATTAGAAGTGAGACATGTTTAAATTTTTCATTACAGCGTTTTATCGTTAAAAAAGAAAACATTGATACCCTGAATACTGCTTTGGACCTAGATTGTTCAATATCCAGATATCACCAGAAGATGGCAAATGAGACTTTGCCGAAACGTCGTGAAAATGACAATCCTTGTGAGGATAAAAAACACGGGACACGGAATGAAACCCGGAAAACCAATTAAATTTCTTGTATGGATTGTTCTGAAACAGCTGATTAACGGAAAAAGAGATTTTGAAACAGATATATTTAGCTAAGTCATCGAGATCGAAAAAAAAGGTTAATTAAGCAGGAGCAGTAACCTATATTGAAAATGCCATATTAGATGCAATAGATAATTTTATGAACATAGCACCCAAAAAGACAAACCATAGACACGTGTTTCATGCTTTTAGCCCATTATCAGTATGGTGCAGCCAAGTGCAAGGATGGGCAATATATGGTTACCAAAAATGGGAAACATCACATGGCGCTGATGAGACCAATAGTCAGAAACACGTGTCTGCGGTTTGCCTCTCATTTTGAGTGTTGTTTCCGCGAACTTATTAAACAATAGCATTCAAAAAGGGCAAATCATAGACAAGCGTTTCATACTTATGTCCCTTCATCAGTATGGTGCAGCCAAGTGCAAAGATGGGTAACATCTGGTTACCAAAAATAGAAAACATCACATGGATAGTCAACACTTGGTTGCACCAAACTATTGAAGGGCCAAAAGCCCAAAACACGTATCTATGGTTTGCCCTTTTTCGACTACTATGTGTATATATTACTATAGCATTATTAATAAACAGTTTTTATTTCAGGTAACGTCAGTAGCGTGTCTAGCATGCTTGTGTACTTCAGGTACAGTCAAAGTGAGCTTATTTATGCTTCCATTGGTGGGAAGAATACGCATGATGATGTTTGTTACTCTCCTAAGTATGTTGGTAACATGCCTTCTTCTGTTTCTTGATATCTCCCACATGATATACCTATTTCCATTCAACTGGGGTAAAGTGGTATGTACAATTTTGTATGTATATATAGTATTTTTAGAGAAAGTGTATTACAAAGTTATTTCAAAATTCCCAATACATTTTCAACATATATAAATACTTTGTACATATTGGAAGGGAATAAAAGATCAAGAGAATCAATAGCAAGTTGTATCAGCATTCGGCAACAACACAGTGTGTCAGTGATTTTATAATTTCATAGCTTTTTACAATTCACTCAATGTTCTTTGCTTTCCATCCAAATTGAATGGAGAAGGGTATTACTTACTAATAGTAATTTGGAACTGAATTCCAGTTATTTTGCACAAATAATCTATCCATCAAAATGTTATGCTTTTCATTAATAAAGCTTTTAAAGGTCGGATAATATGTGTACGAGTCTGATTGATTTTTTCAATCTGATCATTTCCCTTCCAATTGTTCCTCTTTTCAACATCTAACCGCTTGACTGGTCACCCTATTGATTGTTTATTTTTGGAACTTCCTTTCGTAGTACCCATATACTAACCCTACTTCACATGACTAATATCCTGTTTTTTTATGAAAACCTAGACTCAGTTGAATAACTTTGAAAAAAATGAAATTTGAATCATATCATCTGAAATGAAGGCAGTAGAAGAAAAAACGAAACTGACAACTTTAGATGTGAATATCTAAAATAAGGCTGGAGGAAATGTATATGAACAAAGATTTCTGTTAAAAACCCAGTAGAAGAAAAAAAAAAAACTGATAACATCAGTGTGAATATCTAAAATAAAGCTGGAGAAAGTGTAATGAAAAAATTGTTGTTACAAAACCTAAAATGAGTAATCATAGCTCAGGTGCTATGTACTATCCACGTAATCAAATCTAAAGCGGGTGTATATGTACTTTTATTGGCAATACTCTTCAGAGTTCTGACAAATATTGATATTTCCGCCAATTTTGCGTTAATAATACGCATAATAATAGTACACAATTAAACGAATTGAGCGTCGAAATTCTGCCTCATCCACCATATTCTCCAGACCTCTCGCCAACCGATTAGCATATTTTCAAGCACTTCTATAACTTTCTCACCGATAGAACGTTCGCCAATCAGAACCAGGCAAAAACGGCCTTCGTCGCCTTGTGTTACGTAGGCGCTTTTTTCGATCAACTTGAATAAGTATTTACTGAGATATTACAGTTCAAAGTAGACTTATAAGAACGGACAAAACTTTTGAAACAACCTACTAATCATAATGTTCTTTGATAAAATTCACTCAAACAAAAGTATATTCACAACTATCAATTTTAATTTTCAAATAGGTGTCGCATGCATTTGTGAGACAACTCGAATACATTTTCTTGAGTGATTGTTTCAATTTTCTCATAACTTCTAATATAATAACTGAATTGTTTAGTGCAAAAAAAATCTGTTTAAAATCTTAATTACATCTTAATGTACATAAAATGCTTAAGTTAACTAACGTATTTATTTGATAAAGATTCATACCATATCCATCTATATAGCTTTCCAATTACCACATTAAATGTGATATCCTTGAAAGATAGACATATACCATCGCGGACTATTAACGTATAGAAGAACCATATGTAGTGAATTGTTTTGTTATAACTCGGAAGAGATTAGGCAGCGTTTTCGATGAAAGCTCTTCAGCTTGGTACGGGTAGCACCTCGACTTCTCCCCGATTACATCTTACATTTCAACCAATTCACACAAAAGCATTATTTATCTTTTGAATCGTTACATCCTATGGTGAAAACCGTATGACCAGACAGACCCAGCAGGAGGATTTTGTTTTATATCATATAATTATCTTGAGATCATGTTATTATATATAAATTATTTTTATTTCAGAATGCATATTTCTATGTAAGCCTTAGTGTCTTGTTCCTGATAGCTTCATCATTAATATTTCACATGATATTCTCATCAGAGGCCTTTTCTTGGGTCCCCAAATGGACACACCACCAATTGTTAGTCACTGGAGTAAGTGATATTATTATTTACTATTACTGTATTATGAACTCAGAAAATAAGTTCTCCGTAAATTCATGAAACGAAGGAAATTATTCTATTTATTCAGCTACAATTTCAAGGAACAAAATTTCTTTTATACAAAAATATCGTTAGATTTCACTTAGAAAGAACTATCTTCTAAATCTGACTTGGTGTATTTTCCTGTCCGATTATTCTCTATTATAAGTAGGTATAGTATCATTGGCCAAATCTTCCTACATGGAAGCAAAGACCAAGAATACTTAGAGAGTATTAAAAATAAGTGAATATTCTAAAAACCGCTTCTGTTTGACTATGTCACTTACAATTATTCGAAAGTAGAAATGAAATTTGTTAATTTGAATAGGACATCTTGTATGTTTTATCACTTTTCATTTTCCCTCTAAATTATTGCTAATTGAATTTCCCCTCAAAAACTTACCATAATTTACTTTAGAAAATTTTGGCCATTTCCAAACAGTATCGATATTCCTACAAAGATGTTTTTTCCATTACAGTTCTGGGGTCTATGATTTACTTCCACAAGTTGTTAGACATAATTACACCGAATTTTCATGAATTACGGTAGAAACTCCCCTAATAATTCCCACTTTGTTGTTGAAATGTATCAAAATTAGATATGAAATAAATTTACGAGTGCAATATCTGATTCAAATAATACCAAAGATGAATTATTATATTTCTTTTTCACAGTGATATATTCCATTTCTGAAAAATTTTATTTGTCACATGGAAATTGTAACATCATTAACGTAACATAACTGCGTATGTTCTACTTTTTCTCATTATTATCATAAAAATTTGCCTATCGGTCATTGGATCTGAATAAATTTAGTGAATGTTGTTAATAATGCTTGAAAACTTCTATGTTTTTTACCACTTTTATTTGTAACTAACTTTACTGCAGTTTCGTCCTATACGGACATTTTCAAACTTATACATTAAACTAACTAGTATAAAGTAGTTAGTTTACATTGAATTGCAGTAACGTTAGTAACTGCAGTTAGTTACAGCAACTAGGATAAACTAGTTAGTTTAAAGTATAAGTTTGAAAATGTCCTTATAGGACGTTAGTTACAAATAAAAGTGGTAAAAAACATAGAAAGTTTCAATTCTCGTTTCTTCATTATGATTTCCTACCACGTCGTGACAACTACATCCATCAATTTATTAATAATATTTCCTTACCTCTAGTGTCTAGGATATGTGTGCTGCTTGGAATCAGCAATAATATCTCTTATCCAGAAATGTCAAATGGGCCAGTATGAGCCAGTCGAAGAAGACCTGAGCTTTCATTTACAAGAAAGACAAACTTCACCAAGAGATTCACCAACGCACAGAATGAATCAAACGACGCACAATTACAAGCCTATCATCAACTATCCAGTAATTCCGTCAACATCTAGGCAAGAACCAGCAAATTACCTTGATGATATACAGCCCTGTTCGTCCAAAACTTCTGATCCTTATAGACTAGCATGATGGCTAATATTTTTTTTCAATTAACAACTACAGTGAGACGATAGAACCATTTATATCATAACATAGACTAGTTATTTACAAATAGAACTTCAAATGAACACACAAACACCTTGATCAAAAATTATGTAAAATAAATATTTGGTTGTTTCTCGAGGTTTAGACTTGTATTGGTTTATAGGAACTTTGATGAAGTAAAAGTGTTTGAAAGTTGCAAATGCAACAATCAATATATTAACAAAAATGCTTTTTTGGATCTTAAACTGCCCTAATATAAAAGGTGATAAGAACTTATTCGGAAACCTATATGAAGAAGAAAAGTGCAACTCATCTATGAATGGTTTTAAAAACTTTTCAACAAATTGGAACGATTTTTTGAAAGTGATTGTTTGAGATGACCTAAAGGTGTGTCCTTTCACACTATTTTAGATTATCTAATTAATAACATATTTCTTAATATTACACGAACTTTTATAAGTTGAAAGTTACTATCAAACTAATTGGTAATGAAAGTGGTATATATACAGTGTACTTGTGATGCATTGTTTGAAACCTTTGGTGAAGATGATCACTTGGTGATCAAAACATAAATAACGGTTTGATGTTGGGATAAAACTCCAGTAATATTTATATACAGTGTGACACACTTAATAAAGACTTCCCCTGTATTTTAGTCATTTTTGAAAGCATGTATTTGATTTTTGGCAAAGGCATAGACCTCAATGGGCCGCAGTTTTAGCAATACTTAGCCCTAGTGATAGCCTCAAACCCAGTCTACCGCGTTTCTGCTTAAAAATCGATGTTGACCCTACATACGGAGTTTCAACGCAAAATTTGAATTTCCATTTTTTTTTTGGAATATTCATATTCAAGTCCGAAAATAATAAATTCCTTATAATGAAAAACCTAATATTCTTGGGAAAGGTTTCGGCTTTCTACTTCTCCAAAACCTTTCTATCCCCAAAATTAATCTCACCAAATATTCATCATGAAAAAATTCGAATTTTGATTATTAGTTACTAAAAATCCACAGAGACATCAGTCAAAATTAAATGACATTTGATGAAGCAAATTCAACAGGAAATGAAATAAACACTAATATTGAAAGTTAGCTCCAAATATTGTCTCTCTCAACTGGTCCGCCAGCAATTCTGTTATATTTTTCTATTATTTTTTTATAACTATTGGTCACCCTCCCAAGTTCTGTAATACTTATTTCCCGACAGGTTTGCCGTACTCTTGTCTTTTTCGTGGCCTAGACTTGTAAATTCTATTCTCGACGGTTTCCTAGAAGTAAAAATCTATTAGAGTTACGTCAGGAGAGCGAGGAGGCCATTGTTTATATTTATTTATTTCACCCTAACAGGCCTGGTGGCCTCATTACAAGGATGACCTAATGTTCGTTTTAACACCCTTGAACCATCCAAGAATTATGAACGTAAGCTCCGTCTAGCTGAAAGTACACCTCTTATCAATGATTTTCCATCATTTATTATCAAAAAATTCAATAGTCGTTCAGCGTTAATGGTATTAATGAGTTATTCTATCGCCTAAAATACCACACATTGACTTTTTGTGAGTATTTATTAATTAATTAACGGAATGCTCATTACAGCATTGTACAAGTTAATATAAAATTGCGGTCCTGTATATATATATACACCTACAAACCATATATTTACTACAGAAAAAATTCATATACATTTGATTTAAAATTATGGTCTTGTATAAAATATACATCCACTATACAGTAACCTTAATATACTCTTAATAAAATAAGATCACACATACAAACAGTATCATTGAGCCAAGCGCATGTCTTTTATATTTTTTAGTTCACGTCTGAAAGTAAAAAATATGCCAACTTTACTGGCATTCCTTATCATTTTTCTTAAAGGGCTGTGGAATCTATAGTTTCGGTAATGGTGTTTAATATGAAAGGTGTCATTCGACCTAGAACAGAGGTATTAATTTTAAAGTCAATGTGAGACAGGAGCTCTGAGGAAAAAACTTCATCAGTACTGGACCTTACAGTTTATAACTCGGTAGGGATTTTCAATGGACCAGTATCCGCAATTTTGAGCAGATACTATCCTATTCGTAGTCAACGTAGCCTCATCAGTGAACAAAATTTTTCTTAGGAAATTTCTAGCATTTAAAAAATCTAATCGTTTATATTCATCACCTTCTTTCAATGTATGCAAGAACTTTAGTTTGAAAGTTTCAATTTTGTCTCTACTCAAATTCAATTGCTGAGACCTTTCATGAAAATTGATTTGGGGATTAGCACGAATTGAACCTAAGATATTATAATCATCATCGTTCCTTTGATTTCGCTGTGGATTGTCAATAGCTGGACGATTTTTTAATGCACTTCCGGTTTGAGTAAAAAGTTTATTCACGGAGGCTGCTGTTCCATGTCGAATACGATTTCGTTGCGGATGTCTTCTGTTTAATTCTTGAGCAACCTGTCTGCTTCTTTGAGCACGATCACCAAATAACACCATTATTTCAATTTTTCTCACGAATTAAGACGTTCAATGGACATTTTGTTACTGTTTTTGACGCATTTACTTTCAAACTGACATTTGGGCAATAAATGGTTCATATGTTTCCATGACACTCTAGCCCAAATTTAAAAAAAAATATGAGACTGCTTCGAAACAATGAGAATGATGATTTTCCATCCAAAATTAGTCAAATTCGCAACCAACGTATTCAAAAAAACACTTTGTGAGATTTTCACTAAACAATTTTACAAAAACGCAACACGTGTTTCGCCATACAATGGCTTCTTTACTAGTAAGGACACGCCCAACTAAACAATTTTACAAAAACGCAACACGTGTTTCGCCATACAATGGCTTCCTTACTAGTACCTTGTATGACGAAACACGGGTTGCGTTTTTGTAAAATTGTTTAGTGAAAATCTCACAATAAAGTGTTTTATGAATACGTTAGTTATGGATTTTCATCAAGTATCGGGCCAATTCCATCATATAAATTCGCAACCAATCATATTCAACAGGATATTGAAAAATTCTTCAAACGTTCTGACAAGCTAGTGAAGGAGACTAAATTCGATTAACCTACATATGATAAGCTAGTGCTTTTCAATTTAAGTTATTTCAAGAAATGTATTTTATTGATTTTGACTATTTTATCATTTATGTAGCTTCTTATTCGGGACCATCAATTGAAATTCGGACTTGAATATGAAAATTCAAAAAAAAAATCAAATTTCGAACTGAAATTCGGCATGTAGAGTCAAAAATGATTTCTAATCAACTTTTTCAAATAACTTATTTTGCTATCTTCAATGCGAAGCAAAATATTGCGGATCGCATTAGGATGGGTTTAAGGCTGTCACTCAGGCTAAGTATTGCAAAAAGTGGGACCCATGAAGGTTTACTCCTGTACCAAAAATCAAATCTCTTCTTTCGAAAATGACAAAAACACGAGGGTGTCTTCATCTCAAGTGTGTCACACTGTACATGACTGCATTTGAAATGGTAAAAAAGAGAATAAAGTTCAGGATGCCTAATGACCAGATTTTTTTTAAGTTAAAAAACGAAAAAAATTCCAGTATCCATAAATAGCAAGATTTAAGGTTGATACTTCGACACAAATTGCTGAACAGTTCTCAACATTTCTAAATATGATAATTTTCATTAAGGTGTTTGATAATTGTTATTTTTTAGTTAGTGCAAATGATTTAAAGCAGTACAATATTTTTAAACTTTTTTTACAAAAAAGTGTGTGATAGAAGTAACTTTTGCAACAATTATCTAGCATTTGTATATTTAAATTAAATGAAAGTAGGTTATATTCACAACCAATTTTATCGATACAGGTAATTTCCCAAAGTTCCTCATAATTTTGGAGAAACTCTAGTTTTTATGAACAGTTTGTTTCGATATCTAGCGTTATCCAATTGGATACTCATAAATTTTGATGCTTTCCATCTCTTGTGCATGTGGCAATAATTCGCAATAATTGAATTTTGTTAAATACGATATTCATTAATGTTGGCCTGAACTAGTTATATCATATAATATGTATAAACCAGTTTTCACCTTGCTTTTAACCTTTAAATTTTTTGAAAAGCGTTTCGTGATAGGTTTATACTGATAAATATTTAGGCCTAATGCTCAACTACTTCATATGTTTTTCTCATCTAATTTTCGGAAATGTATTTCTCAGACATCACATATCAGAAAAGCCAGTCTAAATAAGCTAGTTCCCTTGTTGAGGTTCATAGTATCTAATATGTTGCAAAAAAGCATCAAAATTTATATTTATAGATATCATTGGATTATAGCTCTCGACTGAAAATAAATCAGTCAACACTATAGAATTTGAGACAAGTTGAGACAAAAGTGAAAAACTGTTGAAATATTTGCACTTGCAACACTTGTTTAAACCAGGCAACCAGAAAATTTTATCTCAAACTATTGTACATAGCAATTAGTTTTTATGTACTGCATGTAATAATTCATTCATGTGGAAGAATTTGTTGTAATTTTACTGGATTTTGAAATATGCAATTAGCAATATTTATTTTGAGAGAAAAAAACACTAGTTTGAAACATTTCAAAAAATTCATGACGAGAGTAGAATTTTTTATGTTGTTCTTGTGAGTTGTTTTTAGGTATATTTCTAAAACTTATTGCGAGATTTTCACTAAATAGACCACAAAAACACAAAACGTGTTTCACTATACAATCGTTTTTTCAGACGTATTCAATTCTAAATCAACTTAGTTTTTTTCTGGTACAAAAATTTACTTTGTCTCGCGATATTTTAATGGGCCAAAATGAATATTGCATTTCATTATTAGCTAATTTCAAATTCTTCGATTTGATAAGATTGCTTAAACAGTTAATTGTTACTGGAATTCATATCGATAGGTTAGTTCAAGAAAAATAGAACTGTCAAAAATTAAAGTCTGTTTTCTATAAAGGTGTCCAGACAGAAAGCAATTAATAATCAATTTTTTGTTTGGAACCTTTCGATTTTGAATATTTCAGAGAATAAATGAAAGCTGACAATACATTACACAAATAATCTGTATTTATGAAATGTTTATCAGTTAGCTTACATCCACTCGTTACCAAAATAATCATTTGTTACTTTAATGCCGGAAGATGAAATATAATATTCTCCCTTAATAAAAACATGAATTATGAAATCAGATGTAATAGTGTCACTTATTTTTCATCTGATAGTTCCTGTTAGAAAGTCATCAAAATTGTTGGTTTTGGGAACAATTAAAAAAATACATTCAAAACTCAGAATACTTCACTTAAAAGACAATATAATCTTTCATCTTAACAAGGCAAAACTTATTCATTTTGAAAAACAAGTGAGAACAGGATTTCATTTGCCAAAGCTTCATATTCTAATTTATTTCATCAATCTGAATTCTCTGACATAGCATGAAGTCTTAATACTGCCAAAAAAAAAAAAAACAGAATGATACTAGCCAAAAAATTAACAGTAGACAACCATTTCTGTTAGAACGGCATCAACTAATTTAGTTTGGCAGACAATCAGGGATTTTGAATGCAGTGTATTATTATGTTTTTAGGGTAGTTTTTGGGTTATAGCGTGATTTTATATTCGTATTAATAAAAGATAAAAAGAAACATCTTTTATTTCGTATCTCCAATTCAGGTATGTTCACTAGTTTTTTCAAAATTTATACAAAGTTTAACAATCATCGTTGAAGCATCTTACGAGCATTTCCTTCAGAATTTAGTCCAGTTATTCAGTTTCCATTTTTTCTTCAGGAGAAGGGATTTCTAAAAGTTTAGGTCCATAGAGAAGAACATATGCACAATGCCAGTCACCTAAAAAGGAGTCAATATTTATAATAGAACCAATATACTTATTTCCTAAAGTCAAAATTATATTTTTCGAGATCACTGAAATATTTCATATACCCCAATGGTCGGCAACAAGCGGACCGCGGAAGGTCGAACCTCGGACCGCCAAATATTGTAATGTGTTATATACCAAGTATAAATTAATACATAGATAAGGTATAGTATACCTTTATCAATCAAAGAAATATTTTTAAACCGCATAGAATTTAACTTAGTATGTTCTTATTTTATTTCAAGTTGCCTAGTCAATCTGTTTTACAAGTACCTACAATTGATATGGTTTCATTAGTTTTTCATCTACCCTGTGTGTGTGTGTGTGTTTGTGCGCACTTGCTACTGTTTTGCTGAAACAAGCGCGAGCGAGTATCGAAATCGGGGGGTGCAGGCGTATGAGCGGGAAAAAGCAGACTCATTCGTTTTGTGGTTTTTCGAGTTTTCATATTTTCGTACCTATGCTAATATGTATCCTAAAAAGCGTAAAGTACACAGTGAAAATAGATGGTTTCTGGCAGAATGGACTGAACAATATTGTTTTACGCTGCCTGATAGGTCTCAAGCGGTTCTAGTGTGCCTTATATGCAATAAAACTTTCGCTATTGTTAAGAGTAGTAATTTGAAGCAACAGTACGACACCAATCATTAGCAATTTCACAAAAACTTTCCTCTTGGCAGTCAGGCTCGTAAAGAAAAGCTTTATGCATATCTCAGTTCTTACAAAAAAAACACGAAATTACTAGTTTGTTGCATGAGCGGGCAAGAAAAATCCACAGAAGCAGCGTTACGTGTGTACTGGACGCTTAACACCAAAAACCATTTTCAGATTCTGAGATGGTGAAGGAATGTATGTTGAAAGTAGTCACGGAGGAAAAAAAGATGTCGCTGCATTTCAAAGTATTCCATTATCAGCGAGAAGTATAACAAGAAAAACGGAAATTTTAGCTGCTGATATTAAAAACACTCTTTTTAAACTCTTGCAAAAGGCACCTTGCTATGCCATAGCACTTTGAGATCTCTTGATATTGAGTGTTAGATTTTTAGAAAAGAGTTGCCAGCAATATTCCGTTGAAAGGTAACACTCGAGGAGAAGATTTATTCAAGGTCATTAATGAGTTTATTACTAAATCTAACATTAGTTATGATAAAATGGTGTCGCTTTCAATGATTGTCCCAGCAATGATTGGCAAAGAAAAAGGGGTAGTAAAGAGAATTAGGGATACAAACTCGGGTATAATACTGTATCAGTGCACAATTCACCAGGCAGCCCTTTGTGGAAAGCTTAGTGCTACACTGAAAGAAGCGATGGACAGCTTGGTCAAGTAACTTAATTCTTGCAAAAATTAGATACGAAGGGAGCCAGAAAGCACTTTGAATTCATAACAAACAAGCGTAATATACTGGTCGTGGCTTTTCTAAAAGATATTTTGAAATATTCAAATTTGCTCAACACAGAATTACAAGGAAATGGAAAATTAATATGTTATCTGATACAAAGCGTGTCTGCTTTTTGTCGCAAGCTGGATATCTTTAAAAAAGATATTGCAAGACAACAATTTATTCATTTTCTGACAATTCTTGAATATGAAAAGAACTCTGAAGAAGACATTGCAGTGTTCATAAAATTTCTGGCCGATCTTAGACAGATGTGGCGCCAAGTCGTTCAATCTGTCAAAGGCATCACTTCAAATAGAGATAATTGATTTGCAAGATGTGTCTTTGCAAATGTATAAAATGATATTCATTGAAGAATTTTGGGCCAAACATGTCCCAGAAAAATATGAAAATTGCAAGAAACTAGCTGAAAATTTGGCCACTATGTTTGGCTCGACATACGTATGTGAAACATATTTTAAGATATTAACGAGATTAACGAACGCCCACCTAGAAGACACACTTTTAATTTGCTATTCCTCTTGAGAACCAAACTAAAAAACTGGCTCAATACCGTCGGTGTAATTTCTCACATTAATTTTAGGTCTTGTTTTATAATTCAGAATTTGCTTTGAAACCAAAATAATGGATAAGTAGCACTCAGTATTTATGAGTTATTTCTTCTGGACCTCGTCAGAATTTTCCCACAGTATCTGGAGCCCACCTAAAACTACTTGCCGACCCCTGATAAACTTTCGGTACAAACCTCCTCCGGAAAGTTTCAAAATGTCCTCTGTGGTTACAGGTGACATGTTTTCATCGTCACACATAATCCAATTATCTCCTTTCTGCCTGACCCATCCTACGTAATGCCCGCTTGATGATGATCGCCCTCTGTGAGTTAGTACTGCTTGCAATGTGTAATATCCACTATTATTACTACCCAAATCTGAAAATGAAGTGACTCATTTCATATCAACTCTTATTGAAATTATAAAGAAAGAAGGACTCATCTTACCATTTTCAAAACAATAAGGTTCATATTTTTTATCTTCTTTGGAATCAGCATCCCCTTTAACTTTTTCCTTATTTCTGCCAGCAAGTTCTATTTGCCTATCTTCAAACTCCTGTAATTGTAATAAATATATAGTATAATAAAGTTGAAATAATGCTTTAGAATTCAATTCATATGCTAGAAAAGCCAACCTTGAATTTTGCACGCATAGGAGCTAGTTTTTCTTGTAACTCGGGTGTACACAACTCGAAGGCATCAAAATCTAATGGAAATTTCACATCTTTTAGAATTTTTGCGTTAATGGACTCCTTTTCCTTGTAATAAAACCTCACGAATTGTACCGTCAAATACGCTGGTAAACGGCTTATTTTTGACTAAAATGAAATCAATAATATTTGGAATAAAAAAATAAGCATATGACATACCGTCTTAGTGTAAATTGCATCCCTATCTAATGTTGATGATTTTTTTGTCAACTGTTCTTGAAGTTTCTAGAAAATAAAAGATAATAAGTTGACTATATCTTCTAGAAACAAATACTTTACATTTTTCAGTCCTGAATGCATGTACCGAACGTCTTGGGAAATGAAGCAGCTCAATTGTAAAAACTGTTCTTTACTCTTCGAAACAGGCTCATCTTCAGCTTCAACACATTTCAACTCAACATCAAAGGTTCCACCAAAATACTGATCTATCAGCGATCTAGTACAAAGTAAAGTTAACTGTTGCAAGGAAAACGAACAACACTCAGTTCTTCAATGAATATTAGATAAAACAGATATAACACATGTAAAAAATTAAGTTACATGTGGGACTACTATTTAGACATATACCATGATAAAACATCTCAAAATGAGCATTGCTATACATGTAAATAAAAAGTAAATACTATGACATCATTAACACCAATTTTGTAAATATTCAATTTTCAATTGTAAACCCAGATTACTTTGTCCTGATGAAAGCTTGGCGATTTGTAAAATAGAGTAAGTTTATTTTTTGAATGTGTCATATTGATTTTAATTGGCACCCTCATATTGACTTAATTGGCGCTCCGGGGCAACTTCAATGATTCCAGTGGCACATTTGCTTTTTTAGCTGCAG